GGGGGTTTAAGTGGAGAGAAAATGTTTTGAGAATGATGTACAAATGCGCTTTACACAATTGATGTGTGTATGGATTGCGATAACAGTAGTAGGAGCCCCTAATAAAATGTTTTTTAAAAAATCACCCATAATCCCACCAACTAGAAGTGTTTAAAATGTTAGCATTTGGGTGCATGATCCTTGACACTGGCTTATTAAATACACATCTTTTCAAAGAAGTCCTGTTGGTATAGGGGGTTGCACATTGGGCTGCTAACCACAAAGTCATTAGTTTGAAACCACTAGCCATTCCTTGAGAGAAGGATGTGAGGCATAATGGCTATTCGTTGGGCTGCTAACTGCAAAGTCAGCAGTTAAAAATCACCAGCTTCTCTATGGGAGAAAGATGGGACTTCCTCCTTCCATAAAGAGTTACAGCCTTGAGAACTCAAAGGGACAGTTCTACCCTGCCCTCTAGAGTCACCATGAGTTGGAATCGATGTGATGGCAGTGACTTTGGTTTGATGGTTACAGGAAGCAGATATTCTCGGTATTATAAACTTCTACAAACAAAACAGTAGATAGTTCCAGTCAAGTGTCAATGGGATAGCATGATCACAGGGCTTAGTTTAGCCAGATGATTTGAGCCTTTGAAATGGCCATGTTGTTACCAATGCCTGAACCCATTGTCCAACAGTCACACAATCCCTTACACTGTGCCCAAACCTGCAGCCTTGTAGCTTCTAATAGTTTGGGAGTTGGAGTCCACACAGTGTAGTTAGCCCCCTTTTAGTATTAGAGGCCTGCCGTTGTGTGCCTGTCCACCATAACTCCAAGTTTTCTCCAGCTGAAACTTCTCAGATCTTTTGGATCCAAGTTATGCAGATGAGGAACCATCCTGCTTACACTCCAGATGCAATCAGTTGTCTATTATCAGGTCTCTTTGGATTTGGATTGTGTCATCCGACATGTTTGCCCCCCTTTCAGTGTTGCCATCTGCACATTTAATACGGGTGCTGTATACATTCCTGATATCTTTGGCAACCTCTGCATTTGCAGATCAATCCAGCACAAGATTGTTGTAGTCAAGTTCCATTGAGTTGATTCCATCACTACGTACAGCAGAACAAAAGACTGCCCAATCCTGTGCCATCCTCACCTTATTTGCAGGCACTATTTTAACCCATCTCATCAAGGATATTTCTTCTTTTTGTTGACTCTCTACCAAATGTGTCCTTCTCTAGAGATTAGTTCCTCCCAGCAACATGTCAAAGTATGTGAGATTAACTCTTGAGCCATCCTTGATTCTAAGGAATGCTTTGGTTGTACTTCTTTCAAGACAGATTTGGTCATTCTTCTACCAAGACAGTAATTCAAAGGCATCGATTCTTCAGTGTTCTCTATTTATTGTCAAGTTTTCACATGCAGGAGGTGATTGAAAATACCATGGCTAATGTTAAGCATACCTCAGTCC